ATTTTTACATATTTGTGAATTTTTCAAATTTTCTTTTTTTTTTTTTTGAGGAAGAGTTTCACTCTTGTTGCCCAGGCTGCAGTGCAATGGCAGGATCTTGGCTTACTGCAATTTCCGCCCCCCAAATTCAAGTGATTCTCCTGCCTCACCCTCCTGAGTAGCTGGGACTACAGGCACATGCCACCACACTCAGCTAATTTTTGTATTTTTAGTAGACACGGGGTTTCTTCATATTGGTCAGGCTAGTCTCGAATTCCTGACCTCAGGTGATCTGCCCACCGTGGCCTCCCTAAGTGTCGAGATTATGGCCATAAGCCACCACACCCAGCTCAAATTTTCTTATGTTATTATTTCTAATTTCATTCCATTGACAAAGAACATATCTTGTATAATTTTCATCTTTTAAAATTCATTGAGACTTGTTCTGTGGCCTAAAATATGGTCTACCCTGGAGAGTGTTCCATGTGCACTTGAGAACAACGTATATTGTGCTGCTGTTGAATGGAGTGTCCTATATATGTCTGTCAGGTCTGGTTGATAAACACTATTGTTCAAGTCATCCATTTCCTTACTAATTTTCTGTCTAGTTATTTTAATCATTATTGAAAGTTTGGTATTTAAGTTTTACTATTATCATTGAATTGTCCATTTATCCATTCAGTTCTGTCAGGTTTTATTTCACGTATTTTGGGGCTCAGTTTTAGGTAATTATGTATGTATAATTGTTATATCTTCCTGATGGATTGACCCTTCTATCATAAAAAATGCCCTATATCTAGTAATTTTTTTTGCATTAATGTCTACTTTGATCTTACTATAGCTACTCTAGTTCTCCTTTGCTGTATGCATGGTATTTTTCCATCTTTTTAATTTCAACTTATTTCTTTGATGAGTAACTTCTTTTTATATGCTTATTGACCATTTGAATATCCTCTTTTGTAGAGTGCCTGTTCATGTCTTTGCCCGTTTTTTATTTTCATTTTTTGTCTCTATCTTATTGATTTGTAGTAGTTCTTTATATGTTATATATACAAGGCTTTTATAGAATGTACTATTGCAAATGTTTTGTCTGGTTTATAGTCTTTCACTTTTCTAGTAGTCTTGATGAATAGTTCATGAAGTTCAATTTATCAATCTTTTTATTCAATTCTTTAATTTTTCTCTCATTTCTTTTCATTTTCCTTTTTGTGTCCTGTTTAAGAAATCTTTACAACCGGGCACAGTGGCTCATACCTGTAATCCCAGCACTTTGGGAGGCCACGGCAGGTGGATCACAAAGTCAAGAGATTGAGACGATCCAGGCCAACATGGTGAAACGCCATCTCTACTAAAAAATACAAAAATTAGACAGGGTTTCACCATGTTGGCCAGGCTAGTCTCAAACGCCAAACCTCGAGTGATCTGCTCACCTTGGCCTCCCAAAGTGCTGGCATTACATGCATGAGCCACTGTGCCCAGCCAAATATTTGCTTATTTGGGCTTTTTTTTTTCTTTAACATAGTATTATGGCAATATATTAGATATTGCCATATCTAATTAGACTGACTAATACATTAGATATTACCTACTTCTTCTCCAAAGTGGTTGTTCTAACTTTTACTCAAATCAGCACTATTTTAACACTCCTTTTGCTTCACATTCTCCCTTTGTCAGACTTTTAAACTTTTAATAGTTGTAAAGTATCTACTTAGTGTGGTTGGAATGTGCATTTTCCTAATTACAAATGAAATTGAGAACATTTTCATATGTTTATTGACCATTTGAGTTTATGTTCCTATTTATTGACTGTTGATTTCTTATATGTTTGAAAGATTCAAGAACAAGTTTAAAAAAAGAAAAGCAAAATACAGAATAATAGATATAAGGACACATACGTGTGTGTGTGCTCATTTATATTCAATACCTATGTATCAATATGTGTTTTTATATGATTAGCTTTAGTTGTTTTAGGCAAAATCTTGCTCTGTCATCCAGGCTGGAGCGCAGTGGCGTGATCTCAGCTCACTACAACCTTTGCCTCCTGAATTCAAGTAATTCTTCTGACTCAGCCTCCCTGAGAAGCTGGGATTACAGGCACCTGCCACCACGACGAAGTAATTTTTGTATTTTTAGTAGAGACGGGTTTCACTATGTTGGCCAGACTGGTCTCAAACCCCTGACTTCAGGTGATCTGCCCACCTTGGCCTCCCAAAGTGCTGGGATTATGGGCATGAGCCACCATGCCCAGCCATTTTTTTTTTTTTTTAAGACAGAGTCTCGCTCTGCAGCCCAGGCTGGAGTGCAGTGGCATGATCTTGGCTCATTGCAATCTCCGCCTCCCTGGTCCAAGGCGATTCTCCCATCTCAGCCTCCTGAGTTGCTGGGATTACAGGCCCACATTACCATGCCCAGCTAATTTTTGTATTTTTAGTAGAGATGGGGTTTCTCCGTGTTGGCCAGACTGGTCTCAAACCCCTGACTTCAAGTGATCTGCCCACCTCAGCCTCCCAAAGTGCTGGGATTACAGGTATGAGCCTGCATAGTACATATTTTTTAAACTAAACAATAGTTGAAAGAATCATTAAAAGACATTTATAGTAAACTGTAAAAGCAAAATGACAAAACTTGTAATTTGTTTTTAAAAAAGTGAAAAAGTAAAGTAAGAATAACGTTCCGAGTGTGGGTATGGGAGATATTTAACATTGCTAGAATTTTCGTGGAAATGAGTAGGATCCAGAGAGTCAGCCAGATGGCCAAGTGAGATTGGATCTCAAGCAAGCTCCTGCAAAGCCTTTGATCTCCCTATAGTAAAGGATTAATTGCCCATGAGGCATAAGTCAATGAACCAGATCAGTAAAACTTCAGCCCTGCTGCATACTAATATTACCTGAGAAACTTCTAAAGTAAGGATCAAGGGGCATGGTACAGTTATGCATGCTTGTAATCCCAGCACTTTTGGAGGCCAAGGCAGAAGGATCTTGAGCCAAGGAGTTCGAGACCATCCTCAGCAACACAGTGAGACTCCCATCTCTACCAAAAAAGCAAAAATTAGCTGCGTGTGGTGGCACACACCTGTAGTCCCAGCTACTCAGGAGGCGGAGGCAGGAAGATGGTGTGAGCCCAAGACTTGGTGGTTGCAGTGAGCTCTGATCACACCACTGCACTCTAGCCTGGGTGACAGAGGGATACCCTAACTCAAATAAATAAATAAATAAGAATATTGGCTGGATGCGGTGGCTCACTTCTATAATCCCAGCACTTTGGGAGGCTGAGCAGGTGGATCACCCGAGGTCGAGAGTTTAAGACCAGCCTGGTCAACATGGGGAAAGCTGTCTCTACTAAAAATAAAATAATCGGCCAGGTTCAGTGGCTCATGCCTGTAATCCTAGCACTTTGGGAGGCCAAGGCAGGTAGATCACCTTAGGTCAGGAGTTCCAGAGCAGCCTACCTAACATGGCGAAACCCTGTCTCTACTAAAAANTAGAGACGGGGTTTCACCATGTTGACCAGGATGGTCTCAATCTCTCGACCTCGTGATCCACCTGTCTCGGCCTCCTAAAGTGCTAGGATTACAGGCGTGAGCCACCGTGCCCCGCTGCCCAGGCTAGTTTCTAACTCCTTGGATCAAGGAAACCTCCTCCTGCTTCCGATTTACCGAGTGTTAGGATTATAGACTGGAGCCAAGGCACCTGACCTTTTTTTTCTATCACTATGAATATGACTACTCTTGTAACTTCATATAAGTAGAATTATACAGTATTTGTCCTATTGTGACTTTGCTTACTTCACTTAGCTTATGTGTACAAGTTTCATCTATGTTGTAACATGTCAGAATTTCCTTCCTTTTTTTTTTTTTTTTTTTGAGACACAGTTTCACTCTTGTTGCCCAGTCTGGAGTGCAGTGCCATGATTTCGGCTCACTGCAACCTCCTTTTCCCGTGTTCAAGCAATTCTCCTGCCTCAGCCTTCCAAGTAGCTAGTATTACACGCATGTGCTACCATGCCCAGATTTTTTTTGTTTTTTTTTTTGTATTTTTAGTAGAGCCGGGGTTTCTCCGTGTTGCTCAGGGTGGTCTCAAACTCCTGACCTCAGGTGATCCGCTCACCTTGGCTTCCCAAAGTGCTGGAATTATAGGCATGAACCACTGCACCCAGCCAAGAGAGACTCTGTCCCCCCAAAAAAAAGAAAAGGAAAGAAGAGAAATCTAGGCTGTACCTTGGAATAATTGATCTAAAATCTTTTTTTTTTTTTTTTTTTTTTATGGAATTTTGCTCTTGTTGCCCAGGCTGGGTGCAATGGCCTGATCTTGGCTCACCACAACCTCCACCTCTCAGGTTCGACAATTCTCCTGTCTCAGCCTCCCAAGTAGATGGGATTACAGGTGTGTGTCACCATGCTTGGCTAATTTTTTTTTTTTTTTGAGACGGATTCTTGCCCTGTTGCCCAGGTTGGAGTGTAATGGCGTGACCTCAGCTCACTGTAACCTCTGCCTCCCAGGTTCAAGCAATTCTCCAGCCTCAGCCTCCCAAGTAGCTGGGATTACAGGCACCCACCACCATGCTCTGCTAATTTTTATATTCTTAGTTGAGATGGAGTTTCATTATGTTGTCCGGTCTTGAACTCTCGACCTCATGATCTGCCCACCTACGCCTCCCAAAGTACTGGGATTAGAGGTGGGAACCACCACACCTGTCCCTAATTTTCTATTTTTAATAGAAATGGGGTTTCACCATATGGGCCAGGCTGGTCTGAAACTCGTGACTTCAGGTGATGCCCCAGCTTCCCAAAGAGCTGGGATTAGAGGCGTGAGCCACCACTGATCCAAAATCTTCATTGAGATTTTGCACAAGTGGTGGCTCTGGGAATGGTATTTTAAAAAAATTGTCCAGGTGATTACTATGGACAGACAAGGTTGAAATCCCACAGTGTAGATGTCAATATGTAAGACATCAAACAACACTGTTTGAGAAAGAAAGAAAATTTTTTGACATGTAGTTATTATCAGGTTTTTTTTTTAAAAAACACTCCAACGCCAGTTTATTTTCAAAAAGGGCTCCGTGTTATCCTATAGTTCGCCTTCTTTTTCCTTTGTATAATTGTACAACCTTTGAAAGTTGTAATGATCTAATACTAATAATAGCCATTCAGAAAACACTTTCCCTCTCTCCCAACAACCATCCAGGGGGAAATAAAAGTCCTGAAAAGAGGCCAGTTCAACATGGCCTCTACCCTAGTAGAAACAAACAGTGAAAAGAGAAAAAAACAGAAATAAACTAAGAGTTGTTGCCAGTGTCTCTCAGGAGTGGAGACCTGGCTGTCGCCTGGGGTCATGAAATGCAGAGCCTGCGGCATGCAGTACAGCAGCTGGGAGACCTTGCAGCTTCCTCACCCCAGCACATCCACATCCCAACTTAGGTGTCATGGAAATCCTTCAGCAGGGTTCTCCTCCGCTGCTCCGCTATATGCATCTGGTTCTCCAAGTCCCCTCTGTCATAGCACACTCCACTTACCATGAGAGGTTTTCAATCTCAGCCTCCAGCTGAGCCTGTTGATATTCAAACAGCTTCTTCCTGGGTCCAGACTACATGTAATATGTATATGGGTAGATGTATTGCAGGGTGTATCGACACTTGGCCAAGAGCTTGGCAGCATTCTGTAGGTACTGCCAGTCGATCCATGTTCCCAGATTGTTCAGGACCCTCTCCTGAATCTTCTCGTGAATCCGCTGGTATGTCTGTGCCTCTAGCTGCAAGCTTTTGTTGTGGTTTTCCCAACTCTCAAAGTAGAATAAGTACTTCCTGAGGGCTTCCCTTGCCTGGGCTTGTTGGCTCTGGTTCACAATGTCAGGATTCTCCTTGTAATGACTGCATTCATAGTATTCACTGCCATGAGTCTTCCAATCTCCTAGACACAGCCAGCAGAAGTCGTGTTTACATTTGGAGCATTGCATATGATTGCAGCCTCCATTCTTCTCAATGCAGATGTTGCACTTGGGACAGTCTTTAGTGTGAGCCAGAGTCGTCTGCACACTTTGTGAGCCATTTCTGGATAGTGGCGCAGTCTGTGGGTGCATGATACATCTGACGACACTTGAAACAGAAGACTTCATTGCACCGATTGCACTGTACTTGGCGAGCTCTAGGCTCCTGTACCAGAATAACCAGGGGGCAGTCCGCACCAGGGCACAGCTCGAGCTGGTAATGGCTCTCCACATAGTCCCTGAAGAGGTAGCACCTCTATTCCTCTCTCAATTCTTCATTGGGAAGCAATGGAAACACAAAGTCCTCTGGTGTATAGAGCAGACAGTCCTGAGCCATACAAGAGACTCCCATGCCCACGCCCTCCTTGACAAGAACTGAGCAGTGCTGTTCCCAGCAACTTCGGCAACACTGGTGCTGACAGGCCAGAGAGAGTAGGTTTTCCTTTCGCACAAGCTGCATACACACTGCACAGTGGTGAGGGGGATGGGATATGGAAACTTGTTTTGATGGATTAGGCTGAACTCGAGTCTCAATGAACAGTTGAGCAGAATTGGACTTGTATCTGTCCAATATCTCTGAAACTTGCCAGTGGAAATTAACTAATATAAGTTTAGGAACTGAATGAGATACCTTTAGAACAGAGGCTAAGCTGGTCATGTGCTCATTGAGGGCACCCTCAGATTCCTTGTAGGTCAAGCAAGTGAACTGGTACTCCTCGGGATCAAAGGCATCAGCCCCCTGGTGTTCCCAGGGGGGTTGACCCCAAAGGCCACTCCCACGTAATAGTCCTCTATGTCCCCAGGGTCTTCGTCCTCTTCTTCCTCTTCCTCACAATTTGGGTCATAGTCCTCTTCATTGCTATCAGACCCTTGGCTATTCATGTCCACAGACATCTTAGGATCCAGCCAACTTGCAGATGAGGAAAGCAGTTGCTTTTTCCCCCTCCCCCCAAAACTACCGCTTTCTCAAATGCATTAGTATTTTTGTCTTCTGTAATTCTTGGGAGATCTTTCGGGCATATGTCACCCAAATAGTCTATGTAATATAATTTCCATCGGGAGCTGCGGCCCCGCGGCCGCTGAGCCCAGGCGAGCCAGATCGGATTGGGGCACAGCGGCTGCAGAGGCGGCGGGCCGACTCTGCTCAAGCCCGTGCTGCTTCCTCCCTATTATCAGGTTTTTAAATTTTAAGTATAATGAATTTTAAGTATAATGAAATAAGGAAAAATTTGTATATTTCTGTTAGGTGACATCAACAGAGAGTAAAAGAAAATTATAGCTTAAAAAAAAGGTTTCTATCTCAAAATAAAGTTTTTTTAAAATGACTTTCATTCAATGATTATTTATTGAGAATCTATGACATGCAAAGCCTTGTGCTAGAACTGTGGTTTTTTTTTTTTTTTTTTTTTTTTTTAATGACTAGGAAATGGCTCTTACTCTCAAAGTTGTTACAGTCTAGTTAAGAGATGCAAAGAATTAGAGATAGAACAGGCAGAAAGAAATGCCAAAGTGGAAGAAACAAAATGTATGGGCACACTGAGGAGATGAACACTGGCGTGGAAGGTGGGAATGGGGAGGCTTCATGGAGAAACCAGGATTTGAATGCAGCTTTGAAGAATGAGCAGTATTTCGGCAGGTGGAGAAGTTGGGGTGAGGGACAGAGTCCCAGTCTGGGGAACAGTAGGAGCCACTGTCGATACTTTTGAGAAGTATCCGTCCAATCTCTCCAGCTCTCTGTCTGTCTCTCTCTATAGACAGTGTGTATGTAAATTACATACATACATATATAAAATACATGTTACATATATGTATATATAAAATAAAATCTTGTGACCCCCCCCAACTCACCACGACAAAGAGAAAGTTAGGCTTAGGACCTAAGTCACACAAAAACTGCTTTCCGGCCAGGAGCGGTGGCTTACTCCTGTAATACCAGCACTTTGGGAGGCCGAGGTGGGAGGATCACCAGAGGTCGGGAGTTCGAGACCAGCCTAGCCAACATGGTAAAACCCCATCTCTACTAAAAATGCAAAAAAAAATTAGCTAGGCATGGTGGCAGGCACCTGTCATCCCAGCTACTTGGGAGGATGAGGCTTGAACCTGGGAGGCAGAGGTTGCAGTGAGCTGAGATCGTGCCACTGCACTCCAGCCTGGATGACAGAGTAAGACTATCTCAAAACAACAACAACAACAACAACAAAACAACTGCTTTCCTTTTGTTCCCAAACAAATAGCTGTAATTTCACATGCTTACTTTGTCTTATGCAAACTGTAGATCTGAGCACAAAACAAATGTATAATTGCCTTTCCCTGGCTCCTTTTTTTTTCCCCCCATGTAAAATGTAGATTCACTGGGTGCTTAAAAAAAAGCCTCACCAGAGGCCAGGCATGGTGGCTCATGTCTGTAATCCCAGCACTTTGGGAGGCCAAGGCGGGTGGATGACCTGAGGTCAGGAGTTTGAGACCAGCCTGACCAACATGGAAAAACCCCATCTCTACTAAAAATACAAAATTAGCTGGTCGTGGTGGTGCATGCCTGAAATCCCAACTGCTCTCCTGAGGCAGGAGAATCACTTGAATCCAGGAGGCGGAGTTTGCAGCAAGCCGAGATCACACCACTGCACTCCAGCCTGGGTAGCAAGAGCAAAAGTCCATGACACACACAAAAGAAGCCTCACACGAATGTAACTGCTTGCCTCATTGCCTATCCTCTGCCACTATTTCCCCTTTCCTCTTTCCCTTCCTGCTCACTAATTTCCCTTTAAATATTACAGTCCTCAAAACTCTCTTTTGAGGGTTTCCTCTTCGTTTCAAATCCTTTGCCCATTTTTCTATTGGGTTATTTTTATTCTATTTATTGTTTTTCAAGACAAAGTGCAGGACACAAATCCTGTTACTTGTGTTTTTTCTTTCTGGGTGTGTCCTCAACCTTGGCGAAATAAACCGCTAAATCAATTATTTACCTCAGTCACTTTTTGGTTTATTCATATACGTATGGGTTGTACATATATACATATGCACATGTATATACACATCACATAGGAATAAACTAAGCAATTGTTTGGGCATATATTTACATATATATTTGAAATATTTATGGAGTACCTATCTAATGTCTCTAAGGATATTGCGTCTATTTATTCACATATTCGCATATATGTTTGTGTGTTAGGGGAGTGTGGGGTATGTTTACTTGTTTACTCTCTCTCTTTTTTTTTTTTTCCTTTTTGAGACAGAATCTCACTCTGTCACCCAGGCTGGAGTACAGTGGTGCCATTACAGCTCACTGCGGCCTCAACCCCTTCAAGCTCGGGTGATCCTCCCACCTCAGCCTCCCAAGTTGCTGGTACTACAGGCATGCACCACTACATCTAGCTAATTTTGCTATTTTTTTTCTTTAGAAATGGGGTTTTGCCATGTTGCCCAGCCTGCACCCAAACTCCTGGGCTCCAGCAGTTGTCTCCTCCCACCTCAGCCTCCCAAAGTGCTGAAATTACAGGCATGAGCTGCATCCAGCCATGTTTACTCTCTAATGTGTGTTGTTTTTATTCAAAAACTGCAGTGCTCCTTTGCCTGAAACCTTTTGCAGACTCTCCATCGCCTACCAGATTACATGCAAGCAAGCTTTTTGCCTATTGCACCAAGCCTGTGTGGTCAGGGCTCTGTTTGCCTCTATCTCCAGCCTTCTCTTGAAGGCTCTACAGTGGCAGAATTAAAGAAAGAGTGCTCCTCCTGAGAACTTTCTTCCAAACTGGAGTCCTTTCAGCAATTATTTTCAAGATTAATATGTCAACATGACTACTGTTACAGGGATAATGAGAAGACCCAGGGGAAGCAGCATGAAAGCAAGACTGACCACGCAGAGAGGGAGCCACAGGGCAATGCCTGCTTTACGGACTTCCTCCCCCACTACCCAGAGACAGAGCCCACCCCCTCCCTGACCAAATTCCCCATGTTTGGACTTGGCTTTGACGCTGCTGCAGTCACACTGAGAACTTTAAAAACTGCTCCTAGGTCCTTGAACAAGCCCAGCTGTGTCACATCGCTGTGAGTTTACACATTTTCATCCCTCAAGCTTAAATGCCCTTACCTACCACGGTCTGCTAGGCAAACTCTAATCATCTTTCAAAATTCAGCTCATGCAACATTGTTTCTTTCCATCTGGAGGCCACAATTCCCCACCCAGTGATTTAGAAACAAGATCGCCACAAAATAACACAAGCAAACCACATATATCATAAACCCGATTAGCGCTCTGGAAGAGAAAACCAAATAATTGTGTATAAATATGTGAAGAATTCAGAAACTCTCTAAAAGGGAGTTTTCTAATTTCAAAAAGAAAAAAAAGGAGAAAGTGTGTTGGATATTCTCGAGGACAGAATATGGAAAAAAACCTGCAATTTAATAAACAGAAAACAATTAAGTAATTGTATTTGCCATGTTTACAGCAAGACCATGTGAAGAAAAGGGTCTAGTAAACCCAGGAAACACAGAGTTAGGCTGGGGATGGGGGTAGATAGGTACATATCATTAATTTATACTGCTATTTATTAGCCTAGCATATGAATCAATTATAACTTATTTTCTATTGGTAGAAATGAAGACGGTTTTCAATAGTTAGCCATAATAAACAATGCTCAATGAGCATTTCATTCATGTCTCCTTGTGCTCATGAGCTCATATTTTCTTTCTTGAGACGGAGTTTCACTCTTGTCACCCAGACTGGAATGCAAGGGTGCAATCTTGGCTCACTGCAACCTCTACCTTCCAGGTTCAAGTGATTGTCCTATTTCAGGCTCCCAAGTAGCTGGGATTACAGGCACCCACCACCATACCGGGCTAATTTTTGTATTTTTAGCAGAGACAGGGTTTTACCATGTTGGCCAGGTTGATCTCAAACTCCTGACCTCAGGTGATCTGTCCACCTTGGCCTCCTAAAGTGCTGGGATTAAAAGCATGAGCCACCACGCCCAGCCTCATATTTTCTTTTTTTCTCTCTTACTTAAGATCAAGACAGGGTCTTGCTCTGTCTCACAGGCTGAAGCACAGTGATGTGATCATGACTCACTGCAGCCTTAACCTCCTGGGTTCAAGTGATTCTCCCACCTGGGACTCCCAAAGTGCTCAGATTACAAGTGTGATACATTTATTTATTTGCAATAGTGAGAGCCATATAATAGAATATACTTCCCTAGTTTCCCTGGCCAGGAAGCTCACCTCCCAATTTAAATTTCAATCATAGCTTCTGTGTTAATGTTCGTCATTAACACATATGTGTTCTGTTTTCCCCTTGGTCCTGATTTTCTATCCCTATTTTTCTTTCTTACTCTTATGTCCCAGATGTCTGTCTCCAGACCTGATCACTCTTCAGAGATTCGGAGTCACTTACTAACTGCCTTCTCAACTTCTCAATTAGATGTCTATAAGAATCTCAAATTCAAAATGTCTAAAACTTCACCTAATTCCCCACCTAAAAACAAATGAACAAACAAAACCCAGCTCTCTCCTTCCTCTGCTTTTCCTAACCCCAAAGCATGTTAATACCATCCATCCAATAGCCCAAGTCAGAATTCTTAGTCATCCTTAATCCTTCTCTTTTTCTCACCCTCTGTGTCTGTCAGGATTTGCTAGGTTATGCTGCAGTAACAAACAGCCCTAACTCTCAATGGTTTAACACAACAGAAGTTTATTTCTCATCCTAACTACTGAGTTTGAGCATGGGCTCTGCTCCACTTTCTCAAACCAACTCTAGGATACAGGATGATGGAGCAGCCACAATCTGCAACATTTTTGGTTACCACAAGAAACAGAAAAGAGTTCCAAAGGGTTTCATCTTGGCAATTTGATGCTTAGCCCAGAAGTGACATATATTACTTCTGCTAGAGCTGTTAATAACTGGCTCTTCCACCCAACCACAGGAGATCAGAAAGTATAACACTACCAGGTGCCCAAGAGAAAAATTAATAAGCAGCCTTAATGACTACTACACTCAGGATGGACTCCCCAGAAGCAGACCCTAAGATGAAGATTCATGTGAAAGCTATTTACTAGGAAGTATTTCCAGGAAAAAAAACAATAAGGGGTCAGGGAAGAGAGACA